AAAAGAAAGAAGGAAGGAAAAAAGAAAAAGAAAGAAGGAAAGGAAAAAAGAAGGAAGGAAAGAAGGAAGGTAAGAAGGAAAAAAGAAAGAAAAAGAGAAAGAAGGAAGGAAAGAAGGAAAAAAGAAAGAAGGAAGGAAGGAAAAAAGAAGGAAGGAAAAAGAAGGAAGGAAAAAGAGAAAGAAGGAAGGAAAGAAGGAAAAAAAAGGAGGGATGGAGGGAGGAAGGCAAGCAGGAAGGCAGGAGGGAGGGAGGCAGGAAGGCAGGAAGGCAGGAAGGCAGGCAGGCAGGCAGGCAGGCAGGAAGGAAGGAAGGAAGGAAGGAAGGAAGGAAGGAAGGAAGGAAGGTTTGTTGTAATGTGAGATGGGTGTAGAAAGCCAAGCCTGCACCAATACATGAAAATGTGGGTGTGCTTCTGTTGCTCCAGTACTGGATGGAGTAGGTCATAGGTAGGTTAGGAGTGATGTTCTTTGTCACCGAGGCCTAGCAGTTAATGGATGCTCACCATTGCCTCTCCTGTCTTTCCTTCTGCCCCTCCCTAACATTTTGTCTACCATGAATTGTATGGCAGAGAGGACCACCTAAAAGCTGGGGTGCTATTTCACTTCTCTTACCTGACCTGTGGCATATATATACCCAAGACGTGTTACTTCTGTTCCTATGACTTACTGAATTTCTGAATAATTACTCACACTGGGATAACTGCCTAAGTCTATATTTCCTGCCTACTTTCTATTGTAGTCACTCATGATGAGATCAATTTACACTAAAAGTCATGTGGTTCTGCTGTTGTTATCCTTAATCCATTGAGCAGTTTGCCGGTTGAACTAGATTCTGGAGGCTTACATCCCTAAATGTGAGGGTTTAAATTATTCTCAACTATTTTTAGCCATCTAAAACCAGTTACATGTGGTTCTCCAGAATTATTGGAAAAAACAGGAACTTTGAGAACATGTTTCGTTTGACCACTTTAGAAATCTATCTTGATATTAATCATTCTCCAGAACAAACTGGGGAACTACTTCATTGATTAAAAGTGGAGCCAATACCTAACATGATATATCTGACTTCTACATAGCAAAAGTTAAATGGGATGAATCCCAGTTCTGGTTTAAATTTTGAATATTTGTTGAAGAAAATTGATGTAAATACATTTCAGCTTGACTGAAAATACTGTAATGTACCTAGCTGGTATTTTCTATGGTGTAAAGGAGTTTGGTGCCTGTTTATCTTAGGCTCTTTTGAACATCATAACCTCCTCTGAAGCCTTCTGTTGAACCAATGCAAAATGTCATCTATCCTTATTGTTAAAATCTTGATCTCTTAAGTCCCATAAGACCATAATTTTTAGCTGCAAGTTGCAAGTTTATTGAGCAATTAGACTTCTGAGAGTAAAACTTGTGCCTGTCCTAGACTGAATCAAAACTGTGTGAAATGGTCAGGCCATCTAACTCCTGTCCTTGTGTAACTTAGTAAGGACAACATTCTGCGAGATGAATGACCATTTAAACTGCAGTGGATCTGAATGTTTCTGAGGTTTTATAGCTATCTCCTTTCCTTCCATTGCTTTGACTTTATTTCAGCATCTCACGTTGAGCTGTTATTTCCCTTATTCTCTTGCTTAGCTGTGAGGCCTACTTTCTAGCATGTTCATTTTGGTTCCATTAATAATACCATTCTTTTTTACAGATTTTATGTACTGCTTAATATGTATTGCTTAATACTGAGAAGGCATCAATTAATTCTTCAGACAGATGTCTAAGTCCTTTTTTTTTCTCTACTTTGCAATGCACAAGTTATAGTATCATATCATCAAGAAAATCATCCTGCCATAAAAACACCATGGCAGACTGAGATACAGCCATTTAATCTTTTCATGCAGTTTGAGCTGACAATCCCCGTGATGAACTTTTTTTTCAGTATAAATGGATCCTACGTGAGTCACGAAGGGATAATGGATCAACTATTGTTCAGAATCAGTGCAGCTTTTCTATCTACTAATACGAGGGATAGAGGTCTTTCTCTGCTAGAGCCCTCAGTAAAGTACTGACATAAATTTTGTCGACAGATGAACTGTGAAGCCCCAATTTCCACTCTTTTTAACAATAATTGTGTTTTTTCAATATAGACTTCCTAATATTTCCAAGTAAGAAAAAGTTTTTACAAAATAAAAACTTTTTTTTCCTCCATTGTTTGTTTAACACATTTTGAGATATTCACCTTAATAGTTCCATGAAAAGCAGTCTGTAAAAAAGTGGAAAAAGTATTATGGTGGGAAAGTGAATTAAATATTCATTAATTATCTGAATAATTGCATTCATCTTCAACAGTTCTGAGAATTTTTGAGCAATTAAACTTGAGTCACAAGTGGTTTACTCAATACACAAGCACAAGGGAACCACTTCAACTCACTAAATAAAAGCATTCTCATATGGGCCATCTAAAATCCAAATTTATGAATAATTTAGCTTGATAAACAAATCATGTTAACGTTCCATCCCAGTTTTCTCATGACTGGCTTTACAAATGTTTAATCCTTCAAACACTACAAATCACCTCAGGGTTATCTCCACCTGTACAACTCATAATACAATCACAGTTCAGCACACTTACAGCAACTAAACTCCTCTACCCCAGACTGTGCTGTAATCTTCACTAACCCCAACTGCTCATGGATGTACTCAATGAGTGACAAAACATCTTCAGAAAATGGATGGTTTTGCCAGGTCTCTTAGCTCTACTATTCTAAATGCTACTTTACCACTGATTATTTTTAGGTACTTTCATTAATCACTTTAGTGATTGATAATCCTAAGGGAGTGATAGGTGACACACTAAGATCAATATCTAAAGAGTTAGTACAAATTGTCCATTAAATGGAAAGACTTCTGTTCCACTGAAAATAGAAGAAGCTAAATAAATATATTTTATTCCAGACATTTAAATTTTGTATGGCTGAAGTAAGGTGCAATGTTTCCCTCTTAGAGCAATCAGGACCACCAAGACTTAGGGTAAATTTTGTTTTTTTTTCCTGAACTTCATTATCCCAACAGTGGGACCTGTTTCTGACAACAAGCACTGCCATCATCCACCTTTGAAACATTGCTGCTGGCTTCTAGCTGTTAGAGAAAATCAAACAACAATAAAAAGCCTCAGAGAATAAAGCATAATTTCCTGAAGGACTTTCAGTGACAACAATATGTTGTGCAATGGGAGTATCACCACTTGCCTGATATCAAGTGCTCTGTCTTTCTCACTAGCAGTGCAATGTGTAAGGACTGTGGTAATTGATAAACTGCTGTTGACATGAAGTCCCTGGGGGTGAAACTCGGGGTGGGGGGATGTGAAATAAGCCTCTTGGATGAATGATTCACTTATAGTTCATAAACAAGGGATGCATCTTCTAGTAAATGTGAAGCTTTATAATGCAGTCCTAAAAGAGATCAAGGTGGCATTATTGCTAATCACAGTTTGCAAAAGACGGAGTGTGGTTTTTCACTGTAGTGGAATTCTACAGCTGGTAGAACTGGGTGTGGTTTGATAAGCATTTTTGTTTTGTGAAATCTAATGATACTTAGAATTTCTTCTGTTTGAAGCCAAATGACTAATGATTTCAGTACGAACTTAGGTATATAAGTACAACTTATGCACCTGAATTCCTCTAACTTGTTTGAAATTACTCTTGTGGCTGCTGAATCACACACAGATGGTGAATTCACTCACTGAAATTCACTTCATCATGAAACGGACTTCTAAGAGAAGTCCTGTTGAGCTTCCTGTGTATCTCCAGTGAAGGAGGAGACCTCACATTTGCATAAATGATTCAAAGTAGGTAAAACAAGCTGAGAAAAATCTCTGTTTAGAGGTTGGGTTTTTTTTGAAAGTAATGTGTATTACCTCTTTTTGACACATTTTTATTTATTTGTTTAATAAATTAATTAATCTGTAGTGAGGAAAATGTTGTACAAACATGGAATACTGCATTGTCTGTTTCTGTCAATAGATCTATTCAGTTTGTTCCACTGGCTGATTGTTGACTATCGAAGAAGTACAGTATAAAATTAGTTTCTTCAGTTTTATTTGCACATTTGTGAAAGGAAGAGTATTAATCTAACATAAAACAGATGTCAGCAATGTGCGCATGTATATCTGTACTAGTCTGCCTAGACCATCAACATGGGTCATTCATGAAAATAAATAGTCACTTCTAGAATGTGGGTCATTTGACAGTTCAATCATCATCCTCATTCAATCAGATAATTATGCCCTAGAAGTGTTTTTTTCTCCCCACTGATTGTGAAAGATTAGACAAATAGAAAGATTAGATGCTCAAGGCATCTGAATATGGACAGATTAATTTAACTTCATTCCCAGTGTATAAAATGAAAGAGAAACTCCCTATTTTTACCACAGTAAACCTGTGAACCTGTCCTGTCTGAGATATAAGCAGAGAACAGGTCAATATGTGAAATCTGTTCATCTGATTCGTGTGATGAAGTGTAATCTTCTGTACTTTTATGGATTTCTCCTGCACCATAAAAAGGGGTATTTTACAGGAGAAAGTTAAACTACTTTGCTGGTATATCAGCTCAAACCAGTTTGACCACTGACCACATAGTATTGTGTAAAGAAAGTGCATGCATAGGGTTTGGGGTCATCCTGGGGGCACGCCGAGGAAGATTCGAGAAGACTCTAGCAGGAGAAGAGGGCATGCGCAGAAGAAGACACGCCTGTTCATTAATATGTATTAGAAGACACACCTGGTCATGAATATGTATTAATGGACAGGATATAAACCAGGAACAGGAACTGTACCACGTGCGTCTTGGTGGAGCAGAGACTCCCGGCGCACCCAGCGCTGTTTGCTTGCCTCTATTCGCTTAATAAATTGTAAATTTGAATTGACATCCTGTTTGGGACTAAATAATTTATAACAAATACATTCATTGGTTGATACATCCGGTGTATGGTGATGGCTGAAAAAAAAAGATAGAACCAATCTATGGTAAAAGAATTCATTCTTCTGGGATTCCCTAGCAATCGGTGTTTGCCGATCACCCTCTTTCTGCTCTTTTCTGTAACATACATACTAACAGTATTGGTAAATATGGCCATCATAGTGCTAGTGTGGGTCTATCCATTCCTGCAGAGTCCAGTGTACTGCCTCCTTGGCAACCTCTCCTTTCCTCCTTTCTGGAGATCTGGTACACTAGAGCTTGTGTGCCCAAATCCCCTGGAGTATTCCTTGGAAAGAGTCAAACCATCTCCTTCATCAGCTGCATCTTGTAGATGTACTTCACCTTCTCTTTGGGCTATATGGAATATGCTGTGTGGACTGTCATGCTTACGATTGCTATCTGGCCATATTCTACCCTTTATGCTACAGTCTCCTCATGTGCAACACCTTGGTGCACACAGGTGGCTATTGGCTCCTGGATGTTCAGTTTCCTGGGTGTCACTATCTCAGTGTCTCCTAATCTCTACCTCATTCTTCTCTGGCCCCAACATCATCAGCCCCTTTTTTTTGTGACACAGAGTCATGGATTTTTTTCTCCTGTTCTGACATTTTGTTGAAATGGCATGTCTTGTCACCCTCTTCATATACATACTTGGCTCTTTAGCGGTAACATTCACATCCTACATCTATATCATTTCCACTGTCTTGGAAACTCCTAAGAGCCCGAAGTCAGTGAAGTACTTTTTGTACATGCACAGCTAATCTTACTGTTGTAATTTTGTGGTGTGACTCCACCATCTTCCTGTACATCAAGTACTATCATCAGACTTCTCTGATTTAAACAAAATTGTGAATACCTTCAATACTATTGTGACTCCCATACTGAATGCAACCTTTCATTTACAGTCTCAGGAACACAGAGTTGAAGGGAGCCTTGAGAAAAGTGTTAGGTGGATGTGACAATGCCTTAAACTGATTGCAGAGAAAAGTAGGTGGAATAACCATAAATGTATGATGCAGTGGTTTACTGTATGTATTATTCAATGGTATTCCTCTTCCCTATCTTTAAATGTTGGAGCAGACATCTATCTCTGAGATAACTACTCAGATTCTCTTTACAGTTGCTGCAAAGACAGACCATTAGCATGTATAATTAATCAGGCATGTTTTAGATTTTACTTCTGTGACATGTATCAGTCAAATGATGTCCTAGAAGTTCTTTTTCTCTTGGCTGTCTATGAGAAGATTTTAACTCAGTTTTGGGTAGTTGCATGTGACCAGATTAATGTCATCCATATAATATTCTCATCTAATTGACAAAATTCAATGCAAGGAAAAATGTCTGCATCAATCTTGATGGATAAGAACAGAAAGATTTCTTCTCTGTTTAGTAGTTAGTGTTCTGGAGTCCTGTCAAGTTTTCTTGGCCTTACAAGGATGAAATAAATTTCATCTGATGAAGAAGAACTGCATGCATCACTTAAGTCTGATATTTTAAATATGCATCATCTCCAAATACCACAATCAAAATACAGGATTAATTGTTAACTTGAAACGATAGCCAGTTACAAAGTTTAAGTAACATTTGGTCTTACTGCAGTTTTGTGTCTGCCTAGGAAATGGGCTTACCAGTGTCTTTGATAAGCTGAAGATAAGCTTGGGGTGTGTTTATCAAAGACAAGCTTTGATAAGCTTGGGGAAGAGTGGCTGGAAAGCTGCCAGGTAGAAAAGGACCGGGGGGTGCGGGTTGACAGCTGGCTGAACATAAGCCAGCAGTGTGCCCAGGTGGCCAAGAAGGCCAACAGCGTCCTGGCCTGTATCAGCACTAGTGAGGCCAACAGGAGCAGGGACATGACCGTGCCCTTGTACCCGGCACTGGTGAGGCCGCACCTCGAATCCTGTGTTCAATGTTGGGCCCCTCATGACAAAAAGAACATTGAGTTGCTGGAGAGTGTCCAGAGAAGGGCAACGAAGCTGGGGAGGGGTCTGGAGCACAAGTCTTATGAGGAGCAGCTGAGGGAACTGGAATTGTGTAGTCTGGAGAAGAAGCAGCTAAGGGGAGACTTAACAAAAAACTCAGCAAGAAAACCCTCCAACACTTAGTTTGAAGTTTTAGAAGGCAGGCATTCTTTACTGCAGTACTGGAGACACAGGGGATAACTCCGCTCAATGTGTCTGTCTTGAATTTCATAAGCACTTCTTTTATTGTAACAAGGACATATTCATTACATTTTCTGAGAAAACTCCACCTCCCTGCCTGTTGCATTTACATAATGCTGGAGTTGCAAAACTACACTACTCATGCGTGGGGGTCTTGGGTGGTTGTCGGTGGTCATTTGGGGACTTAGCTCCCTACTCCTTTTTCCCTTTTATGGTCACGGGTCTCCTGAGGATAGTTTCTTCTCCTTGGATGTTTGCCCCTTCTGTTGTACAGCCAAGTGATTCTTTCTTATCATCCTCCTTTGAGCACTCCTGCTAGGATGTTTCTATTCTCAAGTTTAAGATATCTCCTCTGTACTCATTAATCTCTCAGTCCTTGCTCTTAACTCTTCTTTGGTTTAATTTCATGAGGCCTCTTGACTCTACACGCACGCATTTCTTGTGATTAATTATGTACACATAGCTGAAATGTTAGCCTGGAGGTAAGTATAGGACTATGAGAGTAGGTTGGTAAACATAATCACACAGTTATTAGGCTAAAGAAATCTTTAAAAGTTAAAGTAATCATGCAATCAATAACCTTCCAGAAAGTACATAAATCTATCAAGACCTTATCATTCTCTACAATTACCAAAAGGAGGTTGTGGTGAGGTGGGTATTGGTCTCTTCTCCCAGGTAACTAGCAATAGGAGAGGAAATGGCCTCAAGTTGTGCCAGAGGAGGTCTAGGTTGGATAATAGGAAAAATTTCTTTACCGAGAGAGTGGTCAAGTATTGGAACAGACTGCCTACATTGGTGGTGGAGTCACTATCACTGAAGGTGTTCAAAAAATGTGTAGACGTGGCACTTTGGGACATGGTTTAGTGGGCATGGTGGTGTTGGGTTGATGGTTGGACATGATGATTTTAGAGGTCTTTTCCAACCTTAATGATTCCATGATACTATGATTCTATGATTCTATAAAAGTTAACCATTAAGCTGAGTAGCTATATTGTGTGAACTTGCATGGTTTACTTATTGCCAGTCTCCAGAGGGGGAAAGGAAAGGGGACTTCAGGGACTGATAAAAGAAACATCTTGCCACAGGGAAGATTATAAGAATAGCAGTGTGCTACCGGCATGAAATCTGAGAAATTTCCCAATAACTAGGGTAAAGGCAAAGGTGGCAGGGGGAGATCATGACCACCAGCTCAATGGAGGAGCTATGCAAATTATATCCCCCCCGCCCCTTTTGGAGCATGTGTGCTAATTAAATACATGTAACAAATAGCAAGGGATATAATAATCACTAAACAATGAATGTAAACTTGGACGGGCTTTTTATTGTTTTGCTAATCATGTAGCAATATAAATATGCTGTAGTCTTTATACCAAGCTAAGCTGGCTTTGTGGGATACCACTTAGCTTCCAGCTTTGCGAAAACATGCAATAAAAGGAATACCTCGACCTTGTGTGTCTATTGGCTTTGCATACTGGGTAAAGATCCCACTTTTTGGGTCAACATTTTAGCAATCCTGGTGGGACAGCTGTAGGGGATCACCCAGCTAGATGGGTTTCAGAGCACAAAGGTGAGACAAAGGGAGTTGTGATTCAACTCAGCTACATCTCACCTTGACAGATCCTTATCTATGCAGAGATGACTTGGGGGCAGCTGTGGAAACTACTCAGCCTGGGATTGCCTGAAAACTTCATCTTGATAGGAACCAAACCTGAATGGAGCCTTGAATAATCCCTTAACAAACAAATGCCCTGAGTACCATTCTACCACTATTCAGTAACTTTGTGTGCTAGACATCACAAAATTAGCAATACAGACTAAGAGGCCATCACACCAGAGATAAACATCCCAGATAGTATAATCCACTCAGGCATAATCCTGCCCCCACCCATCAAATCAGGAAATAAAAACCATAAGGTTTGGGCAGAAAATGGGGGAGTCTTTTTTCCAACGATACAGCTGGCCTGTAGGAGATTCTTCTCCCCTTGTCCAGGGCACTTTACAAGGTAACTTCCCAGGGATTGAGAGGCCTTACCTGAGAGAGAGTAAGTTATTAGGAAACATACATATGGTATTTGGCATGCTTTAAGACCATGATTAGTGCACTATTTTTAAGGTATCAATATCTAGTGTGCTTGTGGTGATTCAAAGAAATTCAAATTTAAGAAATTCAAACTTAATAACATCAAAGAGTTATTAAGCAGACATCTTTATTACAGCGCCGGATGCATGGGGGATATCTCCTCCTAACATGCGTGCCTCGTGTTACCAGCATCTGAATTATATAGGGTACATATATTCATATTCAATGCAATTATTAGCATATTCATGACATCTCTGAGAAATGTTTAACATAGTCAAATGTCCCTGATGCATGCGCTGTTAAATGAATCGGTGGTCCTCTGGTGGTCTCTGGTGGTTTTTTTGCAGTACTTGGTCGTCTTAACTTGTCTGTCCTACAGAGGAACTCTTTTCTTATCTACTTGCTTAGCTTGTATTTCAACATTGTACTGGTTCTTAGTGGTTCCTGCCAGTAACTTGGTTAAGATAAAAGAGGTTGTCCACAGTAGATTATCTTACACAATCCTCGCATACAAAAGGAAATTCACAAATTTGATTGATTTTCCATATTAAAACCTTCTTCCTTATCCCAGACCTTTGTTTCAGTGGTTTGTGTCAGTATTCTATGAATTGTGTTAATTGCGATAGTACATTCCTCCGTTGTATCCATAAAAAACCTAAAATAGTGGTGTATTGGACCTGTGAGCAAAGTTCAAATAAATTGTTAATTTGAACCTTACAGTGAAGTCTCTTTCTCTCCGTCACAACAGCCTTAAGGCCTTGCCTGGATCATCTTGCCGTTCCCAGTGGCAGAGGATCAGATTGGACAGGACTCCAGTGCTCACCAACCTGTTGTTCAGAGGCTCCTCCGGATCCCTTCTGGAACTGAGATCGTGAGCAATGAAGGTGCAATGCCTACTAGAGGT